AACATAATAACATTGAAACTAGCAGCCAAGCAGTATCAGCAGGTAGCATCGATACTCTATGATTCCATTTGAGTCTCTCCACAAGTTTGCCCAATTTCTTGTGAATCTGAACTAAAAATATGAAACCACACAATTAGATTATCACAGAAAATGATGAAACTAACTAATCATATAATTACCATAAAAGAATTAATTAAACAAGTTCAAAAACCAAATTTAAGTTATGATTTGATACATGCATGATGATCTAAGATGAGGAGCTGATTATGAAGTACAAAGCTCCGGGTGTCAAGAGATCTATGAGAAATCCCATTTCATCCACTACACATTTAATTAATATAACTACACAAATACAAAGATATTTTACTAGATTGGACACCATAAAATATATATTCCCAACAATCTCCCCCTTGGTGTTCAATCGTGTTCAATCAGCATTGCAGCGTGAATATCTTTGTCTTTGTGTTGAATTCGGCAATGTAGAGGAGAGCGTAGATAACATTTCTTCAGTTGCTCCTCGTTTGTCTTGAACTTCAGTGCAGCTCAGGTTCCTTTGTCTTTGAACTCGGCTTCTTGAGAAGGCTCTTTGAAGAAATCCTCATAATCTCCCCTTTGATTTCTTCTTGGCAATTTGTTCTTCAATGTCGGGGGTTGAGGAATCTTCAAAAACTTCCATCTGATCCTTGTCTTTCAGAAGTTGTTCTTGATCAGCTTGAATGAATTCCGATGGCGCCTCTGGAACGAAAGTTTGGTTGACAAACAGGCGCACACAAGAATCATCTTTAGTACTTTGAATATTCGACCTGTCTCCTCCAAAGTGTAGCATTCTCGACTTTTTGAAGTGAATGCGTTTGAGGAGACCTTGTCGGTGGCACAACGTAAAATTATGGTTGACTTCTGAGTGTAGCTGACCATTTGATTTGAAGTTGGCTTGGCAATTGAGTTGTAGAGATAGTAGAGAAAGTGTTGGAGAAGAGAAGTGTCCAAGAATGATTTGTTGAGAGTTAACAGTGTAGCATCGTCCCAAGCATATTTACTTTTAGTAAATTATGTAATAAACCTTGAAGGATGATTTATGAACTTGCGTAATTGTAAATTTTTATTATTTCTTTTACGTGAATAGTAAATTGCATGTGGGGCCCACGCCCGGACCGGGGGGCCGCCCGATAATTCCCGAACCACATATTAGATTCATCTTGGTCTAGATGACATCTACAAGGAGGTGGATATTTTATTTGGGCCATAGAAAGGCATGGAGTTGACCGGTTGGTCAAACGGGGCCCAACTACCGGTATTGGTAATTTAGCGGATAACAGCCCGAAATGAGTTTCGGAGACTCCTAAATTAATGTTGGGGGATGTACATCTATTCTAAAGGCCCATAATTATTGGGAACGCGTGATATATTTTATTTGGTCCAATATAATAAAATATGATTAAAACGGGTCGAGAAATACAACTTTCGAGACCGATTGTACACACCGGGACTTAATGGGATGACCTCACACATAAGTGGGGGCCACCCCACGTTTTTATGGGTGCTGATTGACCCAAATTAATGGGAATGAGACAACCAAGCATGGCTTGGCCGGACATGTGATTGAGGGAGTGATCGGAGGTACATGCACATTCATTTAGGGCCATATCTTAGCATTATTTGCTAATTAATTGAGCAAGGTGCCTCCCCCTTTCATTTCTCATCCATACGACCAAGGGAGAGAGTGGAGCTCTAGAGAAAAAGCTCTCACAAACAAGAAGCTTGGGGAGGCTAAAGGGAAGGAAATCCAAGGAGAAACTAGCTAGAAGAAAGGTAAGAACTCAACCATTTCTTTAACTAGTATTATTTTTGGCATGATTTTTAAGAAATCATATGGTGGATTAAAAACGAGGTTCTACACGTTTAAAAGTGTAGAATATTGTTATAAAGTGATGTTAATTAACTTAGAAGAGTTGGTGAATCGATAGGAGTCGAAATCGCCGGAAACCGCCACGTATAGGGAGCTGTTCGTAGTTGCAGACTATGAAAGCCGCCCGGCTTTCGTGAAAGCCGCCCGGCTTTGGCCCAGAAATCCAGCTTTTCACTTTCAATCGGCCTAGAACGGGGATTGATCCAGGGGCTCAACAAAGGCAACTATTGTAGCACATCACGAGGTGAGGATGGCTGACTATATTGCTTATAATTAGTGAGTTAATTTCATAAGATTGCCTAAAGTAATAAGATGGGATTTTCATGGATTATTAATGATTAATAATGCCTAAATGAAAATAATATGGATATGAGTAAGTGAAGCATGATATACAAATTTATAATAATTGTGTATGATTATGTGAAATGAATGGAACGGCATGTTAATGGAATTACTATGATGACATTGTGATAAAATATACTTTACTTCATGTATGAAATTCATGAATGGATTAAAGTGATATTTTTTATATTGAGATCAAACTATACTTGGGTTGGGAAATCAATTGAAATGAAATGCCAATTGGAAAATAGGAACTTGGCATGTTCTAGGATCATAGAATTAGTATCAAAATACTAGTCGGGGAATTAATATAAATAAATGATGAAACATATCCTAAGAGGTAGGATTGTGAATAGATATGCCTTAAGTAGTCTCAAGAGATACTTTAAGGTTGATTTGTATGAACACTAAGGTGTGATAGGGGTAGGCCTAAAGGCCACCTACGGGAATTGATTCTAGGCATAGGATTTGCTTGAGAAGTTGATCATGAAAATAATTAGAGTTGAACTCTAGGATGACATGGAAATGTAGTTGGGCCGAGCCCATGCCATGTACTATGACTAGCATGGAAACGTAGTTGGGCCGAGCCCTTGCCATGTATATGTGATCTCCGTGGAAACGTAGTTGGGCCGAGCCCTTGCCACGAAGTTATGGTTGGTATGGAAACGTAGTTGGGCCGAGCCCTTGCCATACAAACTTTGATATGTTATATTGAGTCAGAGGATTGTATAGAAATGTAGTTGGGCCGAGCCCATGCTATACAATTGGGGCTCGATGGGACCCCACGGGGTTATCGTGACTTGCGGTCACAGGGGAATGGAAATGATGAATTCTAAATGAATATGGGCCCACGGGCCGAGTACTTGACTCTATATAAAGTAAGTACAGTTAAAAGAAAAAGGGGTAACCGAGGGTTATGGCCTATAATATAATAGTACCCTAAGTTGAGGGTCTTAGAAATTAAAACATCAATTATACTTAGTATAGTTGCTATTGTACTTGTCAAATATTTCCAAGTACTGACCTCCCCTTCACGGGGGAGGCCACCTCATAGTTTCAGGTAGAACTTGAAGGTTGCTGCCACCGCCGTTGCTTCGGGAAGATCTAACGAAGAAGACGTGGTTCGTGCTTCTTCCGTTTCTGTTTTGAAAACAATTTAAATAATGCTCATGGATATTGTTTTTGAATAGTTATTTGGGGGCTTGTATGTCCATGCTCGCCAAGGTGTGGCATAAACACTTGTGTTAAATGTTTTCGCTGCTATAAATGTTTATTTTACATTATGTTTATTTATGGATGTACTGTGTGATAGGTATTCAAGACGCCTTGTATAGTATGGATGAGTCGGACTGCGGTTGACTATTCGTGCTGTACGGCGGGTTGTTGACGTGTCCGGGTAGGTCCGGGGCGTGACAAACAGCATGTGGACCACTTTCCCCCTTATGACGATCCAATGAATCGGGGCATCATGTCTTTATTTATTCTGGGAAACAAAACAGAAAACAAACAGGAATGACTGAAACATTTGTGTCTGTAAGTCGTGGGGAGGACGAAGTGGGGTATGCAGTTGCCCAGTAAGGATGGTCATATGGAGATTTAACGGGGCAAAAAGATATATGTTAGCATCCTCCACAGAAGGGACAAATATTATTCTTAGGCAGACAAGGTTGCGTGGTTGGAGGGTATGAATAAGAGAACTGGTAATTTTGTGGTGTAGGAGAGTAATTTTGATGAAGTGTGTAATATTGAGGAGGAGGAGGAGGAGGAGGAGGAGGAGGAGGAGGAATGTAAGGAGAGTATTGCGTAAATGGTGAATATTCCATGGAGGTTTGAAGATAAGGAATTCCTCCAGGAATTTCGTTGAATGGGTTAATCTCATGTTTCTAAAAAAACCTGAAAGGTTAGCACAGAAAAATCCTACGAAAAACAAAAAGAAAAACTAACTAAAAAAAAATCTCACTGAAATTAATTAACCCTTAAAACCGACACCGTCCCCGGCAACAGCGCCAAAAACTGATGTGAATTTTCTCGCACTTAAAAAGATTGTAATATAGTGGTGTAAGTACGAGTATCGTCTCCACAGGAACGGACAAAAGGGAATCAAGAATTAATTAAATTCAGTGATTAAAAACTAACTAAGAAAAATAAATAAATAAAATAAATTATGCGAGAATGGTTTGGGTTGGAAAATTAAATTGGAATTAAACTAATGCGAATGAGCGAATAAAAATAAAGGTTTGGGTTCTTCTTAATTAACGACGAAGGGAACAGGGATTGATTCCGAGGTAATCAGATTTCTGGCAGATCAGGCTTAATTACATGAATTTAATTTAATTGAGTCTAGCTAATCAATACTAAGTTTTTACCGCTCTCGCGGCGTAGAGTACAATAATTTAGGGGACCAGGCTGATCTCTCATGCGACAGGATCCTAAATTATTGCCAAGACGAATGAGCTTACGGCCCCTTAATCGCTACTAATCTCTTAGCGAACGATTAAGTGTGTGTGAATGTGTCCTAGAATAAACTAGATCTCTCTTAATTTATTCTATGTGCAATTGTAATTCTAGTCGCGGTTCCAGATTACAAAAGATAACAGTTAAATTATTCAAACACAAATTAAATGGCATCCATGTAATCAAACCATCAAGAAAGTAGCCATACATCATGATAAACCCCTTCATCAACCCCAAATCCCTAATTGAAACTACTCGCAATTCATAATTGAAGAATCAACACAATTGGGAAGAATATAATTAATTGTCATTAATCAAAAAGTAGGAACTTACAAAGAATTTCAAAGAATTGAAAAACAAGGTTTGAAAAGCTCTCAAAATTCGTCCTTAAGCTGCCAAATAAGTTCTATCCCTAATTATTAGGGTTATGGGGGTGTTATTTATAGGAAACAAGGCAATTTGGACTGAATTAGGACAAAACGGGGTCAGGCACGGCGCCAGGCACGACCGTGCCTGCGACCGTGCCTCCGGAGAAAAAACGCGCATTTTGGGCAGGCATGGCGTGCCTGCCTGCCAGCCACGATCGTGTCTGCCTGACAGTAGCTCCGCGATGCTTTCTCTTCACGCACGATCGTGCCTGACTTTGAGGGCACGATCGTGCCTACTTAATTTCCGAAACTTTCAATGCTTCCTTCATGAAACTTGTAGATAATGAAGTCTTCTATCCACCCCAATTTACCTAATGTTATTTGAATCATCTAATCAAGAGATATGATCAAAACAGTGGAAGGTATAATTCTGAAATCGCAACAGGGATCATCTGACTTCATCGTTTATTTTCACCTTCTTCCTCTTAGATTCTCACAATGATGTCTTCATATGATTTGTATCCCTTGAAGTTTTCTTTCATATGGACTTTGAATCGTGTACATTGAATGTTTCTACAAAGAGATATGCTTGAAAGATTGTCAGAAGGTCATCATGATCGCCGATTTCGAGCTCCATTCATCTTATTTTGATCCCGTAGCCATTCCTAGAGCTCTCTTATCGTCAAAACTTCATCATGAACCTCGCGGTGACCTCCAAAGCTCTCAAATCTTCCTCGAATGCTTCCAAAATCTCCCCGATTGCCTCTTTAAGCACCGATACCGGTCTCTAACTTTTTCAATTCAACTCCAAATGCAACAAAACTCGACCCAACGCCTGATAATTACATCTTGAGCTAAAATTGAGACTTGCAACACCTTAAAGCTAGGAAAACCATCAAAATCCGACTTCAACACGCATCAAATACGTGTTGTAATACGAACTTATCACATTTTGAACAGGTGAAATATGCAGGAAGTTACAAAATGGTGTCCTATCTTTTCTGAAAATAAAGAAAAAACAAATGCTGCATACTTAAAATGCAACAACTATTTTCTCAATCCAGCAACAAATATATTCATTAACCAACCTATAATTTGATAGAAGAAGGTTCAAGCGGAAGGTTTAAGGAGTAGTGCGATCCGTCGGTTTGAATTGGGCGAATGGGCGCCGTCGGCTACAGTGGTTCTTACATATGGGATTCAATTGGGAATAGACGATCTGGGCGAGGGATTACTCATCATCGCCAACCTTTTGAATTCAATCCATCGATTCGTAGTTGGAGGCAGAATTTTCAGATTTCTCAATGTCGATCTCGCTTGGCTTGTGGATATGGGTGCGACAAATATTAGAGAAGGCCAATACATGATCGGGAATCTTCTTTTCAGTCCCGACTCGCGCTGCAGCGGCCTGGAAATGGGATCTCAGGCGCGGTGGTAGCAGGACAACTTCTGGACGGGTACCTCTTCCACAATATGGTGCGATGGCCAGGGATTGGAGGGGATTAGATAGGCACCAATCAGCTTCTATACGACAGAGCTTTATTACCAGTAAATATTGCAATCCAAATGCTTCTAAACCCTGGACAAGAGCTGCACCTTGGCCTCCAAGCAGCACCAAGGATCCAGACCTTCAAAATAAATTTTGCTTTAATATTGAGAGTAAATCTTTTTATTTTGACTTGGCTTACTCTACTCTCCATATTAATCAAGTTAAAAATCACCGCACTTGTTTGATTTCATTTGATAAAGATGTGGTAGAATGGTTGTATAACTCCTTCTCTCCCATTCTATCGGGTCAATCATGGGCTTTCAGAAGGTATGAGAAGTCGCGTAAACTTCATTTGTCTTATGATAAGAATAATTTTGGAAGTTTTATTCGACTAGTGAAAATAAGAAAATGGGGTAGGACAAGCATCATTGTTCCAGAAGGCTGGAGGGGTGAGGGTTTTTGACATTTTAATTCTGCTTTACTGAATCAGCATTTGATGTTAAAAGAGCTCATGAAAGAAAAATTAGGTAAGAATTTAGAGGACTTTGGGTTTGCTTGTTCAGAGTTAATGGAATCTTCGTTTGAGAACTTGGGGTCTATTTCTTCTATGCTTTTTCATGAAGATCTACACACGAATGAATTTTTAATTTCTCCTGAATCAGAAAAATTAAGTGAGGTTGTTCAAGGGAACACAATTAAATTAGTTGAGGAGATAGGCAATATTGACAAGGATGCGATTGAGATCATTGATTTTATTTCTCCTCCTGAGACGGATTACGCTAATAGGGATATTGCCATTTCGACGGAGAACTATTATGAAGGTATGGGTAGAGAAGAAAGGGAGGATGAGAGTAATGTGGATGAAGTCATGATAGTAACATCGACTCAAGTCTCGTTCCCTGAACAAAGTCAACAAAAAGCAATCAAGGGCAGTTCTCAATTGGATTTTGATGACTTTCGTTCTTACGTTCTTCCTCGCCAAGTAACGAGTAGTTGGACAATATACACACGTATTCTGAGGATGAGAACGGTAGAAGGCGAAAATAAGGCATGCTTTTAGGATGTAATTAGAAGTATCACGTAGTGCAGGGTTCACTTTGGCGAATTTGAAACTTTTAAAATGATTAGATGACGTGGAACATATATCAAATCATTTAATGCCATGTATTGAATGCACCAAAACATCCTAGAATGTATTAATACTCTTATTTTTTTCCCGTGCCAATCGTTAAGACCGAATATCTAATTTACCAAACATTACTTTATAAACCCTTTTATAATATTTAATGCACATGTTTTGTTATTATCCAAACTTTTCGTACTGCTCATATCTTTCAAACTTTCATGATAAATGGGAAAACTCAATTGTGCTGACTATGAGCATAAAGTTACATCGGTAGTTTTTGAATGTCAAGTTTATTCTTTACCTATTTTAAATGCAGACTTTTTTTTGTCAAAGATGTGTCATGTATTAATGCATAACATGTATAAATACATAAGGACCTTTGTAATCTTTGTACATTAAATATATTGTTTGAATAGCTATATATACCATATTTATAATGTCCAACGTATTATGTGCATGTTTGGCAAGATCAAGTCTCCGTCTTCTAGCTTTTGTACTATTTAAAAAGCCTTTAAAAGCTTCTATTTGTATGTTTGGCATGCCATTTTTTAAGAGATTTTATAAAAATAAAAGATCTTTTTTGAGATGCTACAGTGAGTAGCATCTCAGATAAGTTAGTAGCTTCTAGTATTAATTAGTCTTAACAGTTTGTATACCAAACAGTGCTAAATCAAACAATCAGCTTTTTACCAAACAGGTACTGCCTTTTCATTCACTAAAAGCTAGATGTTACTAAAAAGTTCATAAAAATATTTTTTCAACTAGATGTGCCAAACATACCCTAAAAGGAAAGACTCATTAATCATACGTTAGTGCGTATTACATATTATTTCAATATTTTTTAGATGTGTGTTTGTAATTAAATAATTAATATAGTTCATCATTTAATATTTCCCAAAAAAGATTCACATCTTTATTTACCTGATATTATTTACCTGACATTCACCTTGTTATCTTTATATATAGAGTGATGAAGATAGAGATACAATTTACCTGGGAATTAAATCTAGAAGATTTCCACTTATCACCTTGTTATCTTCTCTAATTTAATATACGAAATGGCAGGTGTTTATTATTGGAAACATTCTTGTATACAATTGACAAAATGGTTTTTGTTGTAAAATGAAGAATATGAAGAGCAAATTTAAGAGATAGAAATATAGAAGAAAAAAAAACCTCTAAATTACTTCTTCTTAATATCTAAATATTTTCTGAATTTTTCAGTACATTTACAAAGGGTTGATCACCCTATTTATACTAGTTGGCTAGGAGATGAATTATCAAAGAATTATTCTACACAATCTGCTGGAAGCATTAAACCTAGCCATCTGTCTATTACAAGGATAGAAATTGGATTAGTGTCATTATGACAAGGATGAACAATTCACACTTATCATTCTCGGGATATTACAACACTCCCCCTTGAATGTTCATCCTTGAATAGATATTTATTATTTTAAAAATTTATTGTGAAAATTAAGGGGTAAAGAGTACGACTTATAATGTCATTGTATTTGGATGTACTGTCTCGTTAAAACCTTATCAAAAAAAACCCAGTGGGATAAAAACCTGATGAAGGAAAAAAGAGTGCAGTGCATTCAAATACTCCCCCTGAAATTAACATATATTTTGAAGGCGGCGCATGCCGATTTTCTGCACAAGTTCTATGAACTTCTTTGGGGGTAAAGATTTGGTGAAGAGATCAGCCGGATTTTCACTAGATCTGATTTGTTGAATGTTGATCGTCCCTTCTTTCTCCAAATCATGAGTAGAGAAGAATTTTGGTGATATGTGTTTTGTTCTGTCACCTTTGATGTAGCCTTCTTTAATCTGAGCTATGCACGCAGTGTTGTCTTCGTAGATCACAGTAGGATGACAAGTAATAGGCTTCATACCGCATTCGTTTTGGATGTGTTGAATCATATATCGCAGCCACACACATTCTCTTCCAGTTTCATATAGTGCAATTAACTCAGAATGATTTGATGATGTAAGTGTCTATGTCTGCTTCATAGATCTCCACGAGATTGCGGTGTTACCATAAGTAAATACGTACCCGATTTGTGATTTGGTCTTTTGAGGATCTGATAAATATCCAGCGTCTGCATATCCGATTAAAGCGGCTTTTTCATCTTTAATTTGTGGTAGAATAGGCCGAGATCAGGTGTACCACGTAGATAACGGAATACGTGCTTAATCCCGTTCCAATGACGCCTCGTTGGACATGAGATGTACCTAGCTAATAAATTTACAGAAAATGCAATATCTGGTCTAGTATTATTAGCTAAATACATCAATGCTCCAATAACACTCAGATATGGTACTTCGAGACCGAGTATTTCTTCGTTGTCTTCTTGGGGACAAAATGGATTATCGCGTATGTTGAGATATCTAATCACCATTGGTGAAGTCAACGGATGAGCTTTGTCCATATAGAACCTCTTCAAAACTTTCTCGGTGTAATTGGATTGATGGATGAAAATTCCATTCTTCAAATGCTCAATTTGAAGTCCGAGACAAAATTCGGTTCTCCCGAGATCTTTCATTTCAAATTCTTTCATAAGATATTTTGTAGTATTTTCAATTTCATCAGGAGTTCCAATAATGTTTAAGTCATCAACATATACTGCAATTATGGTGAATCCCGAATTTGACCGCCGAATGAAAACACATGGACTAATCGGATCATTCTTATATCCCTCTTTGAGAAGATATTCACTGAGACGATTATACCACATTCGCCCAGATTGTTTTAGTCCATACAATGACTTTTGTAATTCTATAGAAAACATTTCTCGAGGTTTCGAGCTATAAGCTTCAGGCATTTTAAATCCTCTGGGAACTTTCATATAAATGTCTGTATCGAGTGAACCGTATAAATATGCAGTTACTACATCCATTAGGTGCATTTTCCGCCTTTCAAAAACAGACATGCCAATGAGAAACCTTAATGTAGTTGCATCAACTACTGGAGAATAGGTTTCTTCATAATCAATTCCAGGCATTTGAGAAACCCCTTGGGCAATTGAACAAGTCGGGCTTTATATTTAATTGGCCAAACTCATCATGTCATCATTCATTAATATTTAATTGGCCAAACTCATCATGTCATCATTCATTAATATTTAAATTGTATTATTCCCAAGAATTAATGTAAATTATAGGATGTGGTACTTTGAGAGAGGTTTATGCTAGGTTGTAAAAATCAGACCGATGATCGACCCGGCCAAGTGGCTAGGTCAGGGGTCAACCCGGACCCAACGGGTCAATCCGGTCAAGGCCGGGAAAACCCGGTCATCATATATAAAATTTTATAGTACTAGTACTTAACATAAGATAATATAATACTACCTCCGTCCCGCTGGATTTTGTACAAATTGTGTGGTTGGGATTTGTGCAGAGGAGAACGAAATATGGAGAACCATAAATTAGTTGCTTTAATAGGAAAGTGACAAAATTTTTAGGGACAACCAAAAAAAGAAAGTTGGCAAAGTCCAATATACGGAGAGAATATTACAATAAAAGCTAATTAGTCTTCAAACTAATGAAATAATGTTAATAAGGGTTAATTATCAAAATAGGACTAAAAGTCACTCACTTTGCACAAATAGGACCAAAAAATAAAATATGTTTTCATAGGACTAATTAATTATGTATGTCTTGGACAAATATACCCTTATAGCTATTGAAATGTTTTAATTCATAATAAAATAATAAAAAAATAAAAATTCATAAAAATACTATAAAATTAACAAAATATTTCAATAATAATAATTTATTTATTTATTTCAAAAAAAATATGCCATGTTTTTGCATTTTCAGGAAAAAATAGTAGTTTTTAGGGACAATGACACTTTTTTCACCGGCCGGAGATGGTGGTGCCGGGAGGTAATACAGGCGGTGGGAAAGGCATCCATATTTTTTAATTTTTTTATGGAGTTTTACTATTTTTTATTAATTTTTTTTAAAAAATAAAAAAATTAAAAAAATAATTTTTTATTTTATAATTTTTTTGATTATTTTTCTACGAATTTTTGAATTTTTTTCGAATTTATTATGGATTAAACATTTAATTAACTCATATTTAAGGGAAGAGTAAGAATGAAATGAAAAAATAGGTATGTTTCCAATATGGCTAACATTTTGAAAAGAAAAACATAGTAAGTCATATTTTGAGTTTTTGTCATAGTTTTAGTTTTATTTGAAGTAAAATCTTTAATGTTAATCCTTGGTAAACATTGAAATAACACACACAATTTAATGTAAGTGTTAGTCCTATTTATGTGTAGTGTTATTTGATACTCCGTGTTTATTTTTTAATTTTCTAAAATGATTTTGAAAGGATTTTCTAATATATCACACATTTTGCTAAAAATAAATATGTAGGTTTCAGTTATATGTGGAATGTTAGTTAAAATGGTAGATCTTATAGACTTATTATAGTTATAGAGACCTAGAGGCCTGTGTACAAATATTATGGTTAGATAGTAAGAGCATTGAATAACCCAAAGAATCAAATATTACAAAGAAAGAGCCTCTGTCTACGCAAACAACGAACTTGGTCTAGTGGTGGTGAGTAGTAGATCGTATGAAGCAGACGGGGGATCGATTCCCGTGTAGGCTTTTTCGTATCCAATTAATTTCAACCTTTTTTCAGTTTATCTGGGTATCCAGGTTCTGGGTTATTTTGGGACGGGTCAGAAGGGAGCGTTTCGGGTCGGGCCGGACGGTTCGGGTCGTGCCGGGCGGTTCAGGTCGGACCGGGCGGTTCAGGTCAGACCGGGCGGTTCAGGTCGGACCGGGCGGTTCAGGTCGGACCGGGCCACGTCACTGCGTCTGCAAGCTGGGCTGAATGGGCCAGGATCATTGGATTAAACCGAACTGGTCTACAGTCGTACAGCCCGGTTCACTCATTCTTAGATCTGTTTTGGATGAGGTCAGAACGGTTCCTGCCATTTTCGACCAATCCGGATTCAACGGTGAGGTCCGTTTGTCCAAATTTAGCTTCGAAAATAAATTACGAGATATATTGAACATTTTATCATGGAAAGAAATCATCAT